AGAAAACGGTTATGGCTTACTGCGCGTTTCATTCATCATTGGCAGTATATGGAAGTGTTGGAATGAGACTCTAGTTTTTAAGAGGTTTCCTATCGATATTCAGTTGTTGTATGTAGCTGCTGTGATTAGAAGTTGTCGCTGCAAGTGTTTGAGTTATGTGGTATATTATGTAATTGCACTGAGGTTGCGGGTATGGGTTACTACAGCTTGTTTGGGCTTAGTTAGAGTATAGATGTGAGATTTTGATTTGGTGAATAATTTCAGAAGTGGAAATGTGGTTCTAAGGTTCATGGGCTACGTTGGACTGTGAAATTTCAGTTACATTGTGTTATCAGACCTATAAGAGATAGGGTGACAAGGGATCGCCCCCGGGTATGTGCATGGTAAGGTTATTCAGTGATTGGTTGGCTTTTGGAACAACTCTAGGCACGTTTGAGGACGAACGTATGTTTAAGTGGGGGAGGATGTAACGACCCGACCGGTCATTTTGAGCTTTTTCACTTTGCTTGCCAGTTCTCGGGCATGACAAGCCCCGCGTGAAGTATTATGACTTATGTAAATCGTTGGTTTTGATTTTCAGGGTAATCAGAATGAATTTGAAAGAACAGTTCCCAATTTGAAACTTAAAATTTGAAAAGTTTGACCAAGATTTGATTTGTTGGTATATGATCTCGGATCAGAATTTTTATGATTTGGTTAGCTCTGTTAGGTGATTTGGGAATTAGGAGCGTGATCGGAATGCATTTTGGAAGTCCGTGGAAGGTTTAGGCTTGAATTGGTGAAATTGAGATTTTGGCATTTTTCGATTGATAGGTGAGATTTTGATATAGGGGTCGGAATAAAATTCCAGAAGTTCCAGTAGTTCCGTTATGTCATTTGGGATATGTGTGCAAAATTTCAGGTCATTCGGACGTGGTTTGATTAGGTTTTTGATCAAAAACGGAATTCGGAAGATTTTAGAAAGTTTGGCTTGAATCCGATGTGTTTTGGTTGATTTGATGTTGTTTGAGGTGTTTTGAAGGTTGGTACAAGTTTGTATAAGGTATTGGGTTTTGTTTGTGCTTTTGGTTGAGGTCCCGGGGGCCTCAGGGTGATTTCAGATGGTTAACGGAGAGGTTGGAATCTTGTTGCAGCAGCCGATATTGCTGCTTATGGTATTTTTGCACCTGCGGTTTGGGGGCCGCAGGTGCGGTGCCGCAGAAGCGAAGATTTGGCCACAGAAGTGGGAGAGGCTTGAGGAACAGGAAACCACAGAAACGGCCAATAGGATCGCATCTATGGAATCGCAGATGCAGTTTGCGGCTGGTAAGTGAATTCTGCAGAAGCGGGGGATTAGACCGCATATGCGGTGCCGCAGAAGCGGGTTTTGGACCACAAATGCGGAAAGTCCTGGGCAGAACATATAAGTCATTTCATTTCGCGAGATTTAGCTATTTCAGCATTTTTGACTTTGGCTTGGCAGCTTCTTGGGCGATTTGAGAGGGAGATTTCAAGAGAACTTCATTGAGGTAAGGAATTTGGACCTAAAACTTGTTCCTATGCTATTATTTCATGGATTAGAGCTAGAAATTATGGAAATCAAAGGTTAAAATTGGGGAAACTAGGGCTTGCGAACTTAGGCCTTTAATTGAGGATTTGAAGAACCATTTAGGGTCGGATTTGAGAACTTTTGATATGTATGAACTTGTGAGGAGATAAGGAACCTATTGATGTAAAAATTTCTGAATTTCGAGATGTGGACCCGGGGGCCGGATTTGAGCAATTTCGGGATATTTGATGTAAATTGGATATTTTCGAGTGGGCTTTGTTCCCTTAGCATTTTATAATGATTATGTACTGATTGTGGCTAGATTTGGAGCATCCGGAGGTTGATTCGTGCGGGAAAAAGCATCGCGGGCTAGAGTTTGGACTGGATCGAGGTAAATAATGATTGTAAATACTGTCCTGAGGGTTTGAAACCCCGGATTACACATCGTAGTGTTACTTTGAGGTGACGCACACGCTAGATGACGAATGTGGAGTTGTGCACCATTGGGGATTGTGACTTGGTCCGTCCCGTACGATTGTTAAGTCGCGTATTTTATTTGAAATCTTATGATATTCCATGTTCTAGAGATTTATATTATATTTTGGGTTATATGCCATGTTTGGGGCCTTGTGCCGACCTGCTAAGACCCTTAGAGGCATTTTCACTATTTTTCCTCACTCTATTTGTTTTAAAAGCATATCCTCAGTCATGTTTTACCTNCTGCACGCCGCAGCGATATAGCGCTTGGGTTGTAGGAGCCCTTCCGGAGTCTGCACACCCCCAATGAGCGCCGTCGACGAGATATATGGATCGGGTTGCACGCCGCAGCGATATACGGATTGGGCTCCACGCCACAGCGGTAACTATATGGTACCTATTGAGTGTAAGTGCTAAGTGTGAGCGCTGATTGATAAGAGTCGAATCACGAGTGACTGAGAGGCTTGCCCGAGGGGCTACATAAATATACATGTACATGAGTGATGCTTTGCTTTAGGGGCTACATAAATATACATGTACATGAGTGATGCTTTGCCTGAGGGGCTGGTCTATGAACTTACTGATTTCACTCCTCTTTAAAGTGACTTTCTATTGACCATGTTGATTTGATTACTGCTTTTACTCATCTTTAAACTGAGCCTCTATTGAAAATGTTGAACAAACGTTTTAAATAATCTCTCATTTAAACTGAAGTTTCTAAGTTATGAAAAGGGCTGTGAAATTTCTGTTTTGCCCGAGGGGCTGTATTCGAACTATGTTTTGCCCGAGGGGCCAATTATGGTTTTCGTCTCTTTTATTATAAATGATACTGAACCCCTACTGAAACTGTTGGAAAGCATTTCCAAATGATTTTTACCAAAAGTTGGGTTTTAAATGAGACGATTGATTCGTATACTGATTTGAAAGCCTATTGTGCTTATTGAGTTTATCATAAATGTGGATTCACCGTTTCCTACTGCTCAGTCTTCGTTAACTCTTATTACTTATTGGTTCGGAGTACTCACATTACTCCCTGCACCTCGTGTGCAGATTCAGGTATTTCGGAACTCGGTAGCGGGTGTTGATTGCTCAGATGCGGAGTCATCAGAGTTAACAAGGTAGGTGCACGACATTCGCAGCACTGCTTCCGTCCTCTCATTTTTATCACTGTATTTAGTACATTTTTAGACTCTTGTTGTATTCAGACCTTGGTAGATGCTCATGACTAGTGACACCCCGATGTCGGACTAGTGTAATTATTCTGCATTTTTCTTTTAAATGTTCATTATGAGAATATTGGTTATAAATGGTATAAAAACAACTTTTATTGGAAAATGATTGATTTGGGAATTGTGTCGGCTGGCCTTTTCTTCACGAGGGGCACCATCACAACTGGGTCCGGTGCGGGGTTGTGACATATAGTAGCATACTCCTTGCGCACTAGTTAGTTTACTCAGTTTTTAGTTTTACTTCCCGTGCACCTGGAGATGTCTAAAGACAAAATTACCCATATCTATCTAGCACTAAGCATCACTCGCGCATTCGCAGCATCGTAATTAATTTGACTCAATATCTAATCCATTTGCACCAAACTCATATGTTGGGCTCAAGAGTTGAACCTCCACTGACCCTTGAGAATCAAAGACTACTCACTTTATGCGGTTTGCTGGTGACACGCGTACAAGGAGAGGTTGGAGTGTAGTAATTTGAAGTTCTAAAAAGGGAGGATTCATGCTCTTTGAAATTTCAAATTCTCGAATTTATCATCTTTATATAACTCATAGATTGGCCAAGAATTAGGTATCATAGGTCCATCTGAATTGGTCTAAATTTGGAGATATGCTATTAGTAGATAAATGGGACCAAGAACGGGGTCGACCACGGTGTAATAGCGTGAAGTCATACTTGAAAGGCCGTACTCGAGAGGGTTGTTGTCAAGGACGAGCAGTTGAAGTGAAGATATAACGGTAGAATATGTTCGGATATAGACACAAGGAATATTCCTTATTTTGTACTTTTTAGGGTTTCTTGGACATATCCCTTATAAATAGGAAGAGATAGAGAACAAAAGAGAATCTTCACTTTCTGAAAAAACAAACACATTGTAAAAAATTGATTTGAGAGAATATACGAAAAGTTGTTTTGTTCATTGATTATATTATTCAAGCGCATGTTATTGGCCTTTGCCCACAAGATTCAAAGATCTCAAAACCATCTTCATTTCTCTTCTTTCCACGTTGCTGTCAGGGGAAGGAACCATCCAAATCATATAATAATTGGGTGGTAGATTCCTTCTTATTACATGTACTGCCCTTCTCTACATTTATTACATATTTATGTTATCACATTTACTAGTATTCATTGAATATAAATGTGCTACTTAACGGTATCAAACGTCATTCACCACACTGGCTCTCTACCACATTCGATCTAGAATTTATTATTTTTAACTAAGATTCATCTTATATCTCATCATTAATTAGTTTAACTAGGAGGTTCAACACTTTTTTGGTCAAACACCACCGTGGTTTAGTGTTTTAATATTTCATGATTCCAACTAATCAAGATCAATCATCATGCTTTTCCTAATCCCGGTTATCTTAATTCTTATTCTAATAAAATCGATGTACAATTGTTAGGACTTCAATTTCGTGATCAGTTATAAGATAAATACTATTTCAAGAAAAAAATTTATGCGACAAACATCATACAATCTGATCATTATACTGAGTTGTATTTTTCTAGAAAATAATGTTTACTTTTAGGGAATTTTACACCACACATCTGTTTGAACCTGCAGTTCCCATGAGGAGTTAAGCTAGCTTTGGGTCAGGGCGGGTTAATCCACTCTCCCTTGATGAAATTTAACATTGTTTTGGAGCACTAATAGGATAAATATTCATAATATAGGGAATTCATATTATGTCCTTGCCAACCTATATATGTTAATAGAAATGTAAAAGGAATCAGAGAGAGGGATCGGGGTTATGCACAATGGCACAATGTAGGACACAGTATATTAGTTAATTCATCGATTTTCTTGAGTCCAAAGAATTATGAAGAAATATAATTCCATTTTTCGCAGCAGCTTAGCCACTGGACAGGAGAAAAATATTGGCATGCATGTCAAGGAATGTAGTACATTGGGTTAGGAAGCTTGAACGAGCGAATAGAAGTAGAGGAACCCAACAGATCACTCCACTGGTCTCCAGAGTTGCCTACTATTCTAAACCCCTCTTCAACCATCTCATCCCTTTTCTCTGATTTATAAATTGTGGCTGATTTTCCATGATCCTCCGAGCCCCTGCATAGCATTATTAACAAACATTATATCCAAGAAGCAGGATTAATTTCTGGTGTCACAGAAGATGTTGTCCTACTTTGAAAAGCTCATAGAAGAAAAGAAAAAAGCTCTTTGATTGTTGCCCTATTATACTTTATAAAGATTACTTAGAAAGGCATGATATAACAGTGGTAAAGTTGTTGCCATATGACCAGGAGGTCACGGGTTCAAGCCGTGGAAACGTCCTCTTGCAGAAATGCAGGGTAAGGCTGCGTATAATAGACCTTTATGGTCTGGACCTTCCCCGGAACCCGCACATAGCGGGAGCTTAGTGCACCGGTGTGCCCTTTTCTTAGGAAGGCATTATATACTATAAGGCACTTGATCAGGTTCCTCATCGCGGGTGGGTACATGGTCCGAAAAGGATTTAATTAAATCTCATTCATCAAAAAATTATACTATTCAAATAGGGTAAAAACAAAATTATTTTGTATAATTATAAATTACTGAATCTACTTGGGCCAAGGGAAGCTTCTAGTTTAGTAGCAGAGGTGGTTCTAAAATTGCTTTAGGTTGTACGTTTTAATCCCAGGTATAGAATTCTTGCACTTTTCTGAATTACTCTTGTTAGATATCCTACTTGTACCACTGGTTCTCACTAGGAAAGAAACAGTGCACATGCTTGAATTTTCTTTTTCCCACATGGAAAACTAAGTCCAATCACTGCAGGATTGCGCAAACTACTAAAACTAGTCCCACAAGCCCCAAACCCCTTACCCTAAATCAGGCTGACATCTATTTTTCTTAGCATCCTTTCTTTGCAAAGACTACTATATGTATCTAAGTCTAAACCCCAAGAAGTTAACCACATGCTGTTCTTCAGACTTTGACATCTAAAGAGAGCATAAAGCATTGAAGAAAGAGAAGGAAAATATGCATGCTAATTTTTATCTTCATCTAGCATTTGACCCCAGTGTACTTAGATGTGATAAGCAATTCAAAGGATATCTTCCAGATTAACAAAATAATGGCCTTCTTGAGCGGGGCGGTTGCAGATTGTCAATGAGGTAGTATGCAACAGGGTAAATTTGGTAGATTAAAACACAAAAGTAAATCTACTAAAGAAGGGTTCACATAGATAAAAATATACGTGTTGTGATTGGGAAAACCAGTATTTCTTTTTCGTTGTGAAGTCAAGAAAACTTGTTCCAGATATCAAAAGATTACATTCTTAGAACTACAGCATGAAGCACTAGAGTACAAGGAAAGACAATGCATAAGATTATTTTCTACTTTCCTCTGGTGTTATATTGTCATATTCCTGCCAATAGTCGTGCCTAATGGATTTGCCTATCTAGTTGATAAATCATCATTAGATTAAATAAAGGCATGTGGAAAAAACTCTACTTCTTACTCCCCTAGAGGGCATTTCATGCTGATAACTGTAATTCCTTTAATCACTTTACCTGAATGTTTATACTCAAACTCTTCTATTTGGGAAAGAATTGCTATACAGAGAGAAAGAGAGTGAGAGAGAGAGGATTTAGCTGTATTGAAAAGCAGAGCTCTTCAACAAACGCTTCTCAAGATCTTAAACAATCTGCTCATGTTTGTTTAAAACGTTACTCTTCATGGACTATTATCTCTAGACCTGTTTTTATTTCTACTTGAGTTCTGGAGTTCTCCGTTTCTTTGTTCTTTTGTTCAACAATAAAGATGTTTTACTATCCCTGACGAAGGTGATGCATTAACTATTTATACCACCAAGTAAACAAAAAGGCATTCTTTAGCATACAGAAGCAAGAAGAATAGCTACATTTAATATGGACATAAAACATTGATACAATTTGAATGTGAGCTCTTTTGGTCTTAGCACCTATACTTTAACAAGTTATCCACTCGGTAAGGCTTCATAGCTAGGTCTCCATTTCTTTTGCCATGTAAATATCGTGCTGGACCAGGAATTAGTTGACCTATACAGTTTTCAGAAGTTTTGTTCCTCAACATGCCTTTAGAGCTACCAAGTACAGACCAAGTAGGGTTAATCATATTCCTGGAAAATTTATTGCAGCATGTAAAATCTTTGGCTAAATTTAAGTATCCATCTGGTGATCCCTGGATTGAGATCACGGAGTCCAATATATACAACCGTAACCTGAGTAACCAACTGAAAATGACAAAGATGGACAAAATTTAACTGATTTCAGTTAATGGTGAAGTACTAATCAGACTTTCCTCTAATTAATTCATTCTTAAGGAGGACCAATTTGATACTTTTCAATGTTATTATGATCCTGAATTAGATAAGGGCTTTACAAACTATCTCTAAATTGTCTTAAATGACAAACTATTTACTGTAAGCAGATCTAAATGGAGCAGAATATGTACAAATAAACATATAATCAATCCTAGCTAATTTCCATTTTCAAAGTTTCCAGCAATAAATGGACACAATTCTATTGATATACAATCTGATGCCACTACAACTCACCTCAGTATCAGCTTGTCCCAATCCTGAAAACCAGCATTCATCAAATTCTCCACTGTAACAATTCTGTGTCTTTCACTACGCCCAGTAAGCAAGAACACTTTGAATCCTAGCCTCATAACATCTTGATAAAGCTTCAAACTTGACCCAATGGCTGGTGCCACTCCCTTCTCAACCCATTCATCGAATTTCACACTATCAAATACCTCCAACCTACAAATAACCCCCAAGAAAACCATTTCACAAAATCAACAAAATTTATCAGTAGCATACAAATGTACATAGAATTATGCTCAAAATAAGATCTCATATCAACATTCAAGTTGTCCCAAAAGCTTAAGTATAACTCCAAGTATAATAACAAAGTTCCTTTTATTATCACTTACTCCCTCCATCCTAATTTATGTAGCATATTTTCCAAAAGAATATCGGACTTCCATATCTAGAAATAATTTAACTTTAAGCATTTCATTTTGTCCTTAATTAAATTATTTACAGCCACGTAATTGTCCTTTCTTGTTGGAGACCATAAGTTTCAAAAGTCTTTTTTTTTTTTATATTTTATGTCCAATCAAATATCACCCCATAAATTGGAAAAGAGGAGTACTAGAAAGACAACACAACACTGCCATTTAAAATAAGAAAATTAAAAACCCCAATCTTGAAAAAGGTTATGAAAGTCATACCCATAGCCATGTTGCGAATAATAGGGAAGATTTGAAAGCAAAGTCTCATCAACATCAAAAATCCATACATCTTTTCCATCTGCGCCCAATTTCATGCTTTCTGCATAGGCTCCAGCTTCACTTGAAACTCTATCAATGTCCAACTTATAAGCCCCGCCATTAATATATTGCCTCACGTAATCAGCACATTCCTTTGGAATAGTCTTCCATGGGCTTAAATTATTAGCCTCCACAGCAAACCTCCAACTTGTACACTCTAATTCAACATCAATAATGGTTTCCTTCAATTGGGGTTCAGTATTTTCAGGGAACTCAACAATTAAGGTATTAAGATTTTCATGTCCAAAGGCGAAACTAAACAGAATCAAGAAACTGAAAATTCTCATTTTTTTGGGTATTTCAAGAAAATTCAGGTAGGTCCTCCTTATGGGTGGTTGGTGGGGGGTTACTGTATATATACAAAGAGAAAAGAAGGAATACGTAGAGTTGCGTGATGGGGTTTCAAATTGTTTTTGCAGAGATTCGATGCTATATATTCTTTTCTTGATTATGGATAAGAAAACTTTAGATAGTAGTAATAGTAAAGCTTTGAATTCCGATACAGATGGATAAAGAGGCAAAGAGGAGAGGAAGGGAGACAATTAGAAAAGAACAAGGAAGGTTGTAATGGGAAGGAAAGCTACGGAAGTAAAGTAAATGGGCAAAATTTTATTTTGTGTCACATGTATTGTACGAGAGTAACTTTTTTGTCAAGCAATTTTGTGGATTCAAATTTTTGTAGACTCAAAAGTGTAAGATCGGAGTATACAAATTTACAAGACAAAAAGGACTCTCGTACAATTAATGCAAGTTGTACAAAACACAAAATTAAACTTCTCAGTAAATGGAGTCAATGAAATAGCCAAATATGGGATATACAGAGAATATATGTCGTAGGTTCATAATACGCGTAGCAGGTGTGGGGCCCTCGGGATTGACAGGCCAATGAGATTGCTTCATTGGTTACGGGGGCGTTTAGTCAGTTAGGTGCGGTCATTCATATATTTGCCTAGGATTCAAAGTATTGTTTTTGTTTTTGGTTTTCTTATGTTTTTAATTACTTGGAGTTTATAGCTAGTTCATTTGGTGAACTCATTATCTTTCATCCATGTAATTAAAAAAAATTAATTTTTTACATCCAAAAACAATGGAGCAAAGAAAGTACGATATTCAATACGTTCACTTTCAGAAAATAACTTCTTTTGTTTTATTTTTTACAATGATGTTTAATTGGGTACATTACTATTATTATTATTATTTTTAAAAACTTTTGGTGCAAAGTAAACATAGAATATCTTGATTTTTTAAATGTCATTGATATTTTTATGGTTACTAGTCTTAATGTACGCACTTTGCGCATGTACCTAACTCAATGAAAAGTTTATTTAAAATTTATCTTTGAGTTATAAAATAAAAATATAAGTTCTTAAAAATAATGAATGTTGGTCGTACATAATTAATAATAAAATAAAACTGATCCACGGAAATACTCAATATTCAACTTAAAATGCATTTCAAAGAATGACTGAAGTTAGAATGGGAAGTGTTTATTTAATTTGGAAGTATCATTATTTAAGTGAGATTAGTATTTAAATAATATTAATTAGCTAGCTCATACAAAATATTAGGTATTTAATTGCAATTATAATTTTGTTCGATAAGAATTCTTTTTCAAATAGTAAAAAGCCGATTAGGTGAAAAATTATTCATGCATGACATGTTCCAAAAAAAGCAAATGAAATTCTTTGTAAATCAAAAAAAAAAATTAAGAATCACTTTATATCACAAATAAAGTCTACAATTGAAATGCCCTTTTAGAAGCCATAATTATAGTCAAGAAACTTGCTTATATTCAGTTAAATTTAATACAATCTAGAGAAGTTAAAAGATCTCGTAAATTATCTTATTGGAATAATTGATAATTTCGGAGTTTGTCATTGATTTCTGCTCAATATTTCAAATAATTATAATTGCTAATTTAAAAGCTTTAAAAACTAAAATGTTAATATACGTAGAAGGGTTTCATATAAATCAGAACGTATAAAGGTTTTAAAAAAACTGGACCACTTCCATGTTATCCAAAGCCAAACACACTTCCTCTTTCTTTAATGTTCTTATTCTGTCCTTTATTTATTTTATTTATTAGTTATAACTAATTTAAGTGTAAAAATTTTATAAGTAAAATATTAATATGATTTTAAAGTTCTAAATGTCAGAATAGTTAATACAGTTCAATTAAGTAAAAAATGTGTTATACAAACTCCTAAATGTTAGGAAATTAATTAAATGACTATTTGTTAATATTAGAAGAATAAGTAAATGACTATTTTATCCAGTGTGGCCTTTATTTTTAAAGGGTAAAAAAAGCAAATCATATTTCTGTGATAACCCAAAAGGTCATCTTTTATTTTAAAACTCGATTCTGCGCTCTTAAGCCTCAAAAATCTCATTTTGATCCTCCTCGATTTGTGTGTGCAATCCGGGCGTGCATCTGGAAAGCTTTTATGTTGAAAGTTGATAAAAATAAGAATTTTTGCCTTAAAAGTTGAATTTAGTTGACTTCGATCAACGTTTTGAGTAAACGGACCCGAACCCGTATTTTTACGGTCTCGGTGGGTCCGTAATGAAATATGAAAAATGCTCGGAACGAAATTCCGAGGTCCCTACCCCGAGATATGAATTTTTGTTGAAAATTGAAAGACTGAAAATTTAATAGTTTTAAGAATTGATTGATGTTTGACCTTGTTGATACTGGGTCCATATTTTGGTTTCGGAGCCCGGTGCAAGTCCAATATGATATTTATGAGTTGTCTATGAAATTTGGTGAGAAACAGAATTGGTTTCACGCGATTCGGACGTCCGATTGAGAAAATAGAAGTTTTATAACTTTTTTTGAAAATTTCAATTCATTTGGTGTTCTATTCGTAGTTCTAAGTGTTATTTTGGCGATTTGATCACGAGCAAGTTCGTATGATATTTTAGGACTTGGGAGAGTTTCGGATAGGCTACGAAATATTTTAGACTTAGAAAATCTGGTTTTTCTGCAGTTTCAGGTGCCTTCTGATTTTCTTCTTCGTGTTCGCGAAGGCACTCTCGCGAATGTGATGTAGAAACTGGGATGGCTGGGGTTTTCTTCTTCATGAACGCGAAGGCTATGTCGCAAAAGCAAAGTGATGGGAGCTTTATCCTTTGCGAACATGACCAGCTCAACGCGAACGCGAAGCATTTGGGACCTGGGGAGGGGTCAATTACTCCTTCATCGTGAACGCGAAGGCAAGGGGGCATAGTCTTTGCGAATGCGATGAGGGTTTCGCGATCGCCTAAGCCTAGCACGCGCAACCCTTTGCGAACGTGGAAGGCCCTTCGCGAACATGAAGAAGGCCTGACGCCCAGCTATTAAAAACATAATAAAAAACGGGATCTTGTCATTCTCTCAAAAATTTCAAAACTAGAAGACCTAGAGGCAATTTTCAAAAGATATTTTCTTCCCCAGTTTGTTGGTAAGTGATTCTAAACTACTTTCTTTCAATTACCCATTGTATTTCATTAATTTCCAACCTAAAATCTAGAGTGTTCATGGTAGAATTGAGGGTTTTTGGGTAGAGACTAGAGAATTAGACCTCGAATTGAGGTCGGATTCTAAAATCAATTATATATCCGGGCTTGGGGGTGATAGGTCTTAGATTTTGGTCCGAACCTCGAGTTTTGACCAAGTGGGCCCGGATCAGTTTTTGACTTTTCGGGCTTAAGTTTGGGAAATCTAAATTTATGCATTGTAGTTGATTCCTTTAGCAATAATTGATGTTATTGAGTTAATTGTGACTAGATACGAGTAGTTTGGAGGTTGATACTAGAGGAAAAGCGGTAATTGAGCATTGAGTGGCCCGTGGAGCGAGGTAAGTATCGTGTCTAACTTTGACTCGAGGCATTAGGAACCCTTGACTTACTTTCTATATGAAATCCATGTGAGCGGCGTATATGTGAGGTGACGAGTACCTATGAGCCGCCAATTTATCTCTTTTTGTCTGTTTCTTTCCTGTTCTTCTAATATTGTCTCTTTTCCTGTCATAATTGTTATATGCTTTACTGGTATTTCCATGCTTAAGTGCTACCTGATAGACATTGCTTCTCTTTGTTGAAGGTATTAGTTATTTCGTAGATTCGTTGTCTCCTATCATTTGCTTAGGCTGGTTATCAGCACTTTCATGATATTTTCTGGATTGGTCTCGCTGAGTAGTATTACTTGTGTAAAGCTTCGTAGTGTACAAACTTTCTAATTATTTGGTTGGAAGGTAAGTCTTGTAAAGGATTATGTGATTTGAATTGTGAAATTGTTGTAAGTACTGAATAATCGATACTGATATGGTGGGATCAGGTTGCGCACCGCAACAAGTGTAATAAGAGTGAATTGTGGTATTATAAGGGTGAACTGTGAATGTGATTATTGTGATATGGTGGGATCGGGTTGCACGCCACCACAGCTCATACTTATATTCTATTGTTTATGTTAATAAGAAGAAATAAGGGAGGAATATGAGATGTACGGTGGGATCGGGTTGCACGCTGCAACAACCTTTATGTTTATATTTTTCCTTGATTGTGTTAGTTGTACGGTAGTCTTAAATTGCACTTAAGGATTGGTAGTAGCTGAACACTGATGATATGCTTCGAGAACTATATGTAGGTTATATTGTGATTGCCCCGCCGTAGCCTCGTCACTCCTTCGTCGAGGTTAGGCTCGGCACTTACCAGTACATGAGGTCAGTTGTACTGATACTACACTTTGCACTTCCTATGCAGATTTTTGAGCTGGTTCGAGCTGATCGAGAGGTTGACTATAGGATTTATTAGCTAGGAGACTCAAGGTAGACATGTTGGCGTCCGCAGTGTCACGCCCCAAACCTGGGGAGGCATGGCTGGAACCCGGTACCATGCTGGCCCGAACGAATCACTTTGTAACTCATAATCGTTCAACCAAAACTAGAACATAATAGGTCGAGTTGGCTGAACTTATTCCTTTTGTAACTATCATGGGCTAACATGGCCACAACTCATACTGTACAACTGTAAGTGGGCAAACACTGTATCAATGAACCATCGTTCTTAAAACATGAATACATAGGGGTCGTCAAGGCCTTTGCCAAATTGTACAAAATAAAACTCTATTTACAAAGCCTCTAAGATTATTTGACATCAAGTGGGATAGGGTACTGACCTACCCATAAGTTTGTTGCAAAACTCTGACACGATGACTTATAGACTTGGCTGCACTCTGAATGAGGTAGAGTCTTACCGATCTTTCGCTGAATGTTGTCCTCGTCTACTATGAGGGCTCGTCAAACTGATTATCTATACCTGCAGGCATGAATGTAGTGTCCCCAATAAAAGGACGTCAGTACGAATAATGTACCGAGTATGTAAGGCGAAACTGAAACATAACAATAAGTCAACATTAATTAAAGACATATAAGAATCAACCTGAATCTCTGAAGTGCCACCGTATATGCATACTTATCATACTTATATATATAATGCTTCTCTTTGAGACTATTTCTATTATCCATATTATGATGCATGACTGCCCAACTGATCACTGGTAACTGCCCGACCGGCCTTAGCGTGGTGGTAAATGTATGACTGTCTGACTGGCCGTAGCTCGGTGGTAAATATGTAACTGCCCAACCGGTCGTAGCTCAGTGATAAATGTATAACTACCCGACCGACCATAGCTCGGTAGTAAATGTGTAACTGCCCTACCGGCCATAGCACGATGGTAAATGAATATGCATGACTTCCCAACCGGTGGTAAATAATG